TACATGTATTCGCAGTTGATTCGATAAACAAAGCTTCCGTTATCAATCTCCCCCTCCACCCTGTGACATTAGATTTTAAAACTGTCATCCTATCCCATCCTATTGTATGGTTCTGTGTAACTGCATTTAGTGCTAAAGCTGAACTATTCTCTAGATTTCTTATCTTTTTCGGGTCAACTAGTTTTTGCACTGCTCGTCTAGTCTGACTACACCTGTTCTACTACTTTGACCTATGTATTTGACCTGACAATCATTGCAGGCAGGGTATTAGATAAACTAAATTGTTTTGTTTTAAAGGCTTCACAGGATTGATCCTTTAACCGACAAAGCTTGTTTCTAATTGAGTTTGTGGGTTTGAATGCCAGCCACTTTTATTCCTGCCTTGTTAAGAATTCTGGGCCCCACGATTGTCCATAGGGCTTTTATCTCCTCCAATTCACACGATCTCTTCTCCATGTCAACTATGAACTCACACCCAACTCATTGTTCCTCGTTAAGGGTCTTCCACTCGAGCGACAGCACTGGGTGCGTGATGTCATCCAATGATCTCTTCAAAGTGTGTCCTACCCATTTCCATTTTAGTAATATTTTTTTGAGCAATAGGTTCTTGATTGATTTGTTTCTAGAGTTTCTAGTTTTTATAACTCTATCTAGCTGGCCATCTGAACTTTAGTATGGAGCCAGTGTATCAGGTCGCAGTGCCTAAATGGTCTGCGAGCTTGACTTGTTCATGGGTTCGAACTCATGTGGTGACTGCATGCTGGCGATGAGTGTCAAACTAGGACGAAACAGCTGTCAGTGGTTCTCTAACTGATATAAACCTGTGATGAAACTTGTAACTAATCAAATCCTTGCAAACCAACACTTAATAACTTCTCATTATGTTTTTATTTCATTTCAATTCACTATTGAATTAGTATTGATAAAAATGAAACAATAAAAATAAGACAGACAGAATGACCTTGCTTAAGGATTGATATCAGTTAGAAAATCATTCGAATACTGGAGAGCTACCTCATCGCCACAGTTTGGGACTCATCGGAAGTACACACCTATCGCCAGGTTTTGAACTTCAACCCTCCGGTTATAAGGCAACCTAGCTCGTATAGACCATTCAGCCACAAGGACTTGACTCAATGGTTAGCCCATGAATTCTAAGGTTTATCAGTTCATGACTTTAGTGCAACCACCAGCCAATGTCAGCGGATGCAACTGGTTACAGAACGAAGTTGACTGGAGTTCTAGTGAGAAGTCGTGACCAGTGGGGTTCACCGACAGGTCGGAGGTGAGGACAAATATTCGCCACGGATGACACTGACTGGTACCAGTAGCGCTAAAATCACCAACTGGTAGAAGTTAGAATTCATGTCCTTGCTGCCATCGGATCGGGTCTCATTGGCTGAGTGGTCTGACAGCTTCACTTGTAACCGAAAGATCGTTAGTTCGAACTCATGTGGTGAGTGTCAAACTAGGACGAAACAGGTGTCTAGCAGTACTCCTTGCTGGTTTTCAATGGTTCTCTAACTGATATCAACCTGTAACGAATCAAATCCTTGCAAACCAACACTTGATAACTTCTCATTATGTTCTTATTTCAATTCCTTATTTTATTACCTTTAATATGAAAATGAAACAATAAAAGCCAGACAACAGAATGACCTTGCTTAAAGTGCAGAGAGTGTTAGCCTAAATGTGATAAGGTTACATCAACAGTAAGTAAACATAATACCAGATACACTAACTATGGTGATGTGTTAAGATTCTTGATATTTTGTTTTGTTAAATGTAATATCGATAAGTCTTTCTTGCACTTAACCAAGTAATCATGCCTTCTTCACTTACCTTCATATGTATTTTCAGTAATAAGGTCTATTTAGTGTGTGAGTAGCGTGTGCTACGGACTAGATTTATAAGTAGTATATTGATATGGTATGTAGATTCATAGGAAGCGGCTAAAATTGTAATCAGCATTTTAAGTGAATAACTGCAGAGATAGACGTGTTTACCCGTCAAATCCAGATCTAGTTTACGTTGTGGTCACGAAATAATCTCATTGGCTAATTATTCGTTTCAAATCACCAAAAATGCCCATTGAGTCATGCAGAAAACAAAAGACAATTCAGTGAACAAAAAATTTTCTATATCGACGAACTCATCTTCAGAGGCCGTACAATCGTATTTATATTTACCAAAAGTGTACATTAGCGTATTATTGAGAAACTACTATTTATGAGCGTTGAATTTAAAGGTGTTACTGCAGCTTAGATCCTGAAGAATCGCTTATGCATATCACTGAGGAACGCCTTCTTTACGTCTGAGCTGTGGACCAATTTCCACAACCGACAAATGATCAATGGATGTGTGAAGGATAAATTGCCGCTTTGGGCTACTTTAATGTTAGTTGATAAATCCACCAGCTCGTGTGGAGCTAGTTATATTGGCTGCACAAAGCGCACACTCTCCAAATGCATCTCTGAACATGATCTGGCAAGTTTAGCAGAATGACAATGCAAGAGAGTTACTAGTTCAATTCTAGAACACTTAGTGAACTGAGGCCATACAGCTCCACCAGACTCGTGTTTCAAGATCATCTACAAGGTGAGACCAAATGGTCGGAAGAGTATCATGTTTCGGCTTTTTTGTACAGGCGGAGGCGCTGGCAATTGGTCAATACAACTCCAAATTCTGTATAACAAATGGTGCGAGAGATTGGTTAAAGCCAAAGATTACGTGATCAAATGAAAGAAAGAGTCAGAGTAAAGACATCCACTTATCAGGGGAGCAAGGAAAGACTGATAATTGCTTGTTTCTGTACGCGTAAATCGGGTTTCAGGCGTTCAATAGCAACAGCGTTGGCAAACTTGAGGAGGATTAAACTTATTTTTCGTCTACTGATAATTTAAAGGTACATCATGATGCGTATTGATGAGATGTCTAGCAATGAGGCCGAAACCATCTTGTTTTTTTATCATTATGAGTAGGTTTTGCCCCCCCCCCCCAACCAACCTACGTCTGAAACATTTGACAGAAACATCATATACAGAAATATTTTTCTATTCAGGGAAAGATTGTGGTTAAAGCAGTCAGATAAATGTGCTTGTGTAAAAGAGGAACTGGGGATCAGCGGACAAGGGGGTGGGTAGATGGTAGGAAACGGCATTTATAGACACAGAAGAAGAACTCTTATATTTTTAGCAATATAAAGTTATAAGTTGATTTATGGTGTCTATCTTTTGAGTATCTATGACTGCAATATGATTACAACGCCTCACTGTGGCATTTTTTCCCCCTTGCAACGCTAAGAATAGTGAGTCATTTACTTCAAAAGGATACGCCTGTATGCGTGTGCAACATAGAGCTATTCACTTTCTTAAAAGAAACTTTCGTTCTTTTATTTTGTGGGGGGCAGTAGTCTAGTTTATTTTATCGCGTGTACACATACATCATAAACTGGTGCTTACTCTGTAAAATGACGTTTTCAATTTCTAGAAGTTATTTTTCTTTGAGTCCGTTTTTCAACGATGATAATGATTGAATCGTATTCTGAGTAATTGAGATGGTGTGACTTGATTTTTTCTTTTTTTTTGATTTATGTGAATAATCCTCATCCAGACAGTAGTGAAAAACAACAACCAAAACACAAGTAGTTCAGGGAAGAGCCTCTTTTTGGTGGCGAATTCATTCACTTGGTTGTACATTTTATTTCACATTTCTTTACGTTCCCAGTGGGACTTAGGGGCTAATTCAAGCTAGAGGCTTGAAGTTTCTGTAACAGTGGTGATTGTTTTTAAAGGATGGGGTTGCTAGCCAGCCTCATGCCCAGCCTAACCTTCCCTCTTTACCAGTCTTACTACTGGCTTAGTGAGCGAGGTAAAGGAGTGCGTCGATGGCCGGGGATTGAACCTCGGATCACATGAGGCGTGGTCGGCGAGCATTACACCGTTTAGCTGTACATTAGCACTTATATATCCTTATTTTTGTATATATATGTGTGTGAATGTACATTAGGTTTCTCAGACAAGAGAAAAATTAGTAAGGGTTATTGATTACGTCATCAAATTATCTTAAATACATTTGATGAATAGTCAAATTGTAGCTAGGCTAGGTGAAGATTAGTAAAGTGGTAAGGTTAGTGGTGACAAGTTGTCAAAAAGAAGCCTTAAGGACAAGATCTCAGATCTGACCATTTCTATGCACATGTATTAGTTCGCCTGTTGATGTAGAGCCAACTTGATATGATAATGAGCAATAGTTTATGCTCGAAACGTCATCAGTTAATATTGCTGTACAACACTAGGTGATTCACCAAAGTATTCATGTCTTCTCCCTCCCTGTTCACAGTCGGACGCATAATCCAGTCAACCATAATTGAGAATATCACTGGTGATAATAAGCAGCTAGCTTGTCTTACTCCTGTATTCACTTCGAGCGCCTCACTGAGTGAGTTTCCCGTTGTGAATCATCTGACACGTATCATTGTCATATAGCGAGCTGTTGAATGCGCTTTATAAAGACTTGGGCACTGCAAACTGTAATGTTGAAGCAATTTCCAAATTACTTCTCGGTCAAAGCTGTCTGTGGGAGGAGTTTTCGAAGTCGATGAAGTTGAGGTAGTAGTTTGGCTGCCATTCTGTGATGATGATACGTAGAGTTATAATTCGATCAGCATATGATTCGCCTTTCCTGAATCCAGCCAGCTTGTTCCCGCTGGAGTATTTTTAGTATAACAGTTTTTGTATATTTCTTGTGCGATGAAGTTTCTGTAGCACTTTGATTAGTTTGGTAGTGTAGCGTAGCTGGCCCTACGCTCAACCCCCCCCCACTCAACCCCTCTTTACCCGGCCTTGGGATTGGCTAGAAAAATAGCGAGCTCATAAACTAGGTGAGGTTTAATTTAGTGAATAACTATGTTTATTCCATTTCTTTCTCGTTTATATATCTTAACTTCTTATAGTTATCTATCTCATTAGTGCTTTATTATGTTGTTTCCCCCTCTCTAGGTATTCATTCAAGTGTCATATCACAATCCGATACAAATTCCACAACAACAACAACAGCAACACCACCAACAGTTCATCCTGTCAATGGTGGTACTGTTATACCAACAAATATGATGAATGGTAATGGTTTAATTTATGCTACACCACAACCTCAAAGAAATCATGTAAGTGAATACGACAATCTTTTTGAATTTCCTCCGCTTATTTTTCACTTCTATGAACAGTTGTCATCAAAAGTAACGTGTGTGTGTTTGCCTGTGAGTGGTAAGAGAGTTGTTCTTTTACGGAATATCTGAATCAGTTAGTTTGGAAGTTAGACCCTTTGAAACAGTCTTCTTTATGTACCAGACAATGAGCCACGCTTGTTGTGTGTTTAAGTTCATGCTGCTATCCAGTAAGTTACCCCAGGCTAAATCAAGTGGAGCGGAATTTGCAATCCCTGATCCAATAACTGAACTGTACTGTTGAACTGTTCAGGATATATTCTTCATTCCCTTCCAATTTGATTGCAAAGAAGGACTGTTATTACTATTGTTCCATTGGGTTCCAAATGGAATATAGGACTCCTACAGAACATCTCCATTTCAACCCGTTCTCTTCTGTACTCTTTGACTGGCCCCACAATTACCCATAGACTCTTATCTCCTCAAATTCACACGATATTCTCCATGTCACACTTGGACACCCCACTGGTGGGCCTGGCGTGGGACGTCAGCATGTGCTCGATCTATCTCCGTTTTCGTAAGATTTTTTGAGCAATAAGTTCTTGGTTGGTTTATTCCAAGAGTTTTTCGATGCTAATTCCTTCTGGCTGGTCATCTGATCTTTAGTATGAAACCAGCGAAGTCTACAGCTGGCTGTTTGAAATGCTTTTCGTGACGCGTTCGCCATTTTTTTGATCGGTGTAAAAGAAGTGACTGACTTAAAACTGGTGCTGAAAATCAGAATTTTGTTGTTCGTGGTCTGGCGGGATGCAGATTTTCAAGCTGATTTTGGAATCACGAATGTCTGTCTTGCCTTTCTGTTCGTAACTGGTTTCGATATCCCCTTCCGTGTTATCGCATGTACTTGAAACGCTGCTGTCTAACTAGTTGAGTGAAGGGAAGGGAATGACGACTTTCAAATTTCTTACATTATTACCGAATGGTGCTAGTTGTTGTTAATTGGTTGGTTACTCTCATTGTAGTGTCTTTTCTATGCTCATTTAGAGTCCTATCTTTGCTACTTCTTCTGACAGCTGGTTGGTTTTCGCTTGTGATTCTTCGAATTCATGTGGCATTAGACATAAATCGTCCGTGAAATCCGCATCTTCTAGAGTCTTCTGGCCTGCCTAACGTATACCTGTCTTCTCGCCCCACATGATCCAGTCCAGCACAATTAGGAATACCACGCGTGGCGATAGAAAAAGGCAGCCTTGTCTTATTCCTGTCTTCCCTTCAAAGTCTTCGTTGGGTTTTCCTTTGTGGGTCACCTGACATCTAACAAGGAAAGACTAGTTATAACATACTTTCAGAGAGCTGAGATGATATCATTAGGCTTCAGAAATAGGTAGAATGGAGGCAAGGAGTTTACTATCATTTTCTCCTGAATCCAGCTTGTTCTAGGCGGAGTTTTGCATTCAAGAATAGTGTGACTTAATGTTTAACTTGTATTGGATAGGAGCATGATTCCGCACCACCTTTGACAAAGGCTTAAGTTGCCTTTCTTTTCAAATCAATATGTACCTTCCGTTGCTTTCTAACCTTCTGCAATAGTGGCGTGAGCAGGTAGTCGAATTCAGTTAGTTAATACATAGAGACACCTTAGCCTCTTGTATTTGTGTATTTCGAAATAGTTCACGAAGACACCAACGTGATATGCTGTAAAATAGTCACCTCAAATGCTCACTGAACCTTAGTATTTTTCTGCATTATAGATAAGATTTTATTTTGATAAGTCACACAGTGCTACATAGTAATATTAACTGATGACGACGTTTCGAGCACAAATTATTAATGCTCATAATCATATCACGTCACTCACTCACACAACTTTCTAGCTTCACTTATGTACATAAGTGAAAATGATGATTAGATATTTGAACAAAAATCAATATGTGATAATGTACATTCAGAAATAATAAGAGTGTTATTGATCAAATACAATCAGATGGGAAATAAGACGAGTGTTTTAATAGTCAAAATAAATAACTTGTTAGAATGTTATGATGTACGTGAATTGAAATAGAATTTCGAGATTATTTATTATCCTCCTCTGAATTGACTGACCGGTGGTAATAATATCTTCTATATCTCTGGTATTCGCATTGAGTCATTTCTGTTGCATGTGTTGTCGCATGTGAAGTCTGGATCTTCTAGAGTTTTCTGGCTGGTCGCTTTAAGAGTTCGACTTCTAAATATTGTTGAGGCTGTGGGGATTCATATTAATAAGCCTAATTTATGCACCCAAAAGAAGTTAGTTCAGTTATTATCATTACCTTGGCCATCCAGGTTTGAATAATCCAGAATTTTTGTGAAATTTCCCTAATTTTAGTTGATATTCTATTCACTGTTATATCTTTATTATTATTATTATTATAATTTAAGCATCTTTAATGATTTGTAATTCCACTAAGATCTTACTTTACAAATCGATATTATTTAAAAAACGCTAATATTGTTATTGACTAATATTCTAGAATATTCTATGTATATAAACATGCATATATAATTGTAGAGCCTGGAAGAGGAATTTATCGAAAAATATATTCTTTGCTCGATTATTTTGTGTTTCATAGATGTTTGAATGAATAGTTTTAACGTATTATTGTTAAGGTAGGCTTAGTTAAGTGTTTAACAAATGGAGCACTAGCACTTAGTAGCACAAAAAGAGACCTAAATGATGAAACAAAATAGAAAAAAGAGGCTTTGGTGTCAAATAACTATCCTATAAAATTCATTAGGAACATCGAAAAAGACCGAAGGCAAAATAAAAATAATCGTGAAACTAGTAATGATAACATAAATAAGAAAGAATACAAGTCATCCACTGTTATAACATATAAGGAGGGGACATCTGAGACCCTACGTAGGATTCTTAATAAAGCAGGAATTAGGGTTGCATTCAAATCTACAAACTCACTCAGGGAAGACAAGCTCTGTACGTTAAAGGACGCAGTTGACCCAATTAGACAAAATAATATAATTTACAAAATACCTTGCAATGACTGTGAGCTAAGTCAACTACATAGGTCAAACTAGTAGATCCGGGGTAATCAGATTGGCGGAACATAAGAATTTGGCTAAGGTAAGAATGGTTGACCCCGCGAAGATAAGTAATTTAGAAAAAAAGCTCAGCAATTGCACTACACGCATTAACACACAACCACTGAATAGTGTGGGTGGGAGAGGTTTAAAATTCTAGGAAGTAATATATGTAGGTGGAAAGAGAGATTGATTAGTGAATCCTGGTCCATTGAGTCTACACCCAACACAACAGATGCAACAAAAATGACTCAATGCAAATATCAGAGATATGCATGGAAGATATTATTACCACCAGTCAGTCAATTCAGAGGAGGATAATAAATAATCTTAAAATTCGATTTCAATTCACGTACATCATAACATTCTAACAAGTTATTTATTTTGACTATTAAAACACTCGTCTTATTTCCCATCTGATTGTATTTGATCAATAACACTCATATTATTATTTCTGATTGTACATTATCCCATATTGATTTTTATTCAAATGTCTAATCATCAGTTCCACTCATGTATATAAATGAAGGAAAAAAGTTGTCTGAATGAGTGACTTGATATGATTATGAGCAGCGATAATTTGTGCTCGAAACGTCGTCATCAGTTAATATTACTGTGTAACACTTTGTGATTTATCAAAATAAAATCTTATCTATAGTGGAGTTATACCCTACCAGCACAGTCCTCAAGTTTTATGTTTATATCAATTATTTGTATTTTTCTGTCTTCTTTCTCATTCACTCAACCACTTACTTACTCACTCTCTGTCTCTTTCTACTGCTAATAGTATTTTGTTTTTGGCGCTCTATCTATCTATCTCTAACCGTCACTGCTCTACAAGTCATACTATCGATTAAGAAGAAAGGTAAAAATACATTCTTTTTTTAACCCTTTAAAGGCACACCAACTTTTATTTCAACGTGAAATTACAATACACCATATCACTTCTGAATTCTTTATTATTTGACACATTTTTATGTCGATAAAGTTCAGTGAGTCTTAAGAATTTGTGAACTTTTATCAGTCTGGTGACCGACTTGTCTCTAGTACAATCTCATTGAAATTGAAGTTAGACTTAAGTAAAACAAAAAAGTTATTTTTACAAGCTGAATTAATTTTTTTACAGAAGGCCTACGTATATTATTATTATTATTCCCTTTGGTTTCTGATAAAATATAGGGCTGCAGCAGCGCATCGCCATTTCACTTTCTACTCTACAATCTTTTTAATTGCTTCCAAAACTGTTCATACATTTTCTTCTGCACATGATCTCTATGTCATCCTAGGATGCCCAACCCGCCTCTTCATATTTGAGCATGCCTGGCGCGCAATGTCACTCAACGGTCTCCACAGTGTTTGTCCAATCCATTTCATCCAGGTACGACTGTGAGTCGATCCAAAGGCAATCCCATGAATTCCAACTTCTGCCAATTCACGATATGTATAGGACAATTTTCAGCCAGTGTCAAAGGCTAGTAACTGACCTCTTACCTGGCTTTCTTGAGCCCCACTGGTTAGGCTTCTCACTAGAACTCCAGCTGACTACTGTTTGTATAGATAGAGACAATCACCAGTGCTAAATAGTTCCAAACTAGGCTGAAACAGTTGTCTAGTACTCCTTTGTGGTTTTTCAATGGTTGTCTAACTGATATCAACTCGTGCTCCTAAACATGTAGCCAGTCGAATTCCCTCAAACCAAGACTTGACAGTCTTATCCCTTGTGGCCATCTTCAGTTCCTGGTGAAAGTTTGTAGTAAGTAGTCGGTTGGAAATGCTCTTCGCGACGCTTCATTTCTCTGGAACATATAGAAACACTGACTAACTTAACTGTTAGTTTGAAAAAAGCAAGAACAACAGTTTTCGCAGAATAAAATGGTACCATCATTGCTTATTTCGCTGGCTTCTCATTAGCTCAGCTGCTT